CAGAGGCCACTGTCAAGGAGGCCCGGTGGAGAACTGAACTCTCAATTTCTGGCTCTGCAATCAGATACCTAAACCACTGAGCTATCCAAAGAAAGAAACCGAAGGCTTGATTTTTGCTGCACAAGAACAAGCACTCCAAACCAGTGTGATGAAAACTAAGATCCAAGGAATCAGTGTTAACAGCAAATGTCGACTCTGCCAAGAAAAAGATGAAACGGTGTCACAACTCATCTGCGAATGTCCAAAGATGGCACAAACAAATTAGAAAGTTAGACATAATAGAGTGGCAAAGTTAGTGTACTGGTCATTATGGAAAAATATAACTTGCCAGGCTCCAAAAACCCGTGGGAACATCAGGTAGAGGAAGTGTCAGAAAATGAGGGAGTCAAGATCCTGTGGGATTTCGGGATCCAAACGGCTAGACACCTTGAACATAACACACCGGACATAGTAGTAATAGAATGAAGAAAGGTCTGGATCATTGACACTGGAATTCCAGGGGATGCCAGAGTTGAAAATTAAGAATTGGAAAAACTAACAAAGTACAGAGACCTGGCCATTGAAACATTTCGCCTCTGGAGGAAACACACTTCAGTGGTCCCTGTAGTCATTGGGGCTTTGGGAACACTATCAAGAAACTTCACCCAGTGCTATAAGCGGTTGCAGATGTGAGAAATCACACCAGCAGAGCTCCAAAAATGGCAATATTAGGAACAGCGCGCACACTGTGCCAATATTTAATAAATATGTATTCTTGAAGGGTTTCACGGCCGGGATCTGATGGTTGTTGTGGGTTTTTTGGATTCTTTGGCCATGTTCTGAAGGTTGTTCTTCCTGACATTTTGCCAATCTCTGTGGCCAGCATCTTCAGAGGACTGGAGTTAGAACTCTGTCTGTGTTCTCAACTATCCCACACACTACACTAGAACACAGACAGAATTCTGACTCCTGTCCTCTGAAGAGGCCGGCCACAGACACTGGCAAAACATCAGGAAGAACAACCTTCAGAACATGGCCAAAGAGCCTGAAAAACCCACAACAACCATTTCACAGATACTTAGGTTTTTGGTTAAAACTTGTATCTGTTTATAATACCACTCAATGTTTTTATAATTTTGACTGTGCCTCGTGTTTTTGAACAACAACAACAACAACAACAACATCTAGCAAAACTTTCCTTCTCTTTCTAGATTAAAGAGAAGCTCCCAAAGGGTATAAGATGATGAAGCCAACTGTTGTCCCCTAATTATTGGGTTGGGGTGATCTTTGTTCTAACAATTCTATGGAAATAGCCTGATCCACAAACTGGTTGATCAGAAGTTTCAAAAACCATGACCGAGATTTTTTGTGAGTTCTCAGTGAACTACCCTTTGCGAAGCACAGCTTGCTAATAGAAAATAACTCGGCTCTACTAAGAGACGCTGGATTGTTCTAACCATTCAGAGCGCAGCGTTGAACTTGCATCAATGGCTTAGAAAGAAATTGTGGGGAAGTTGGGATAAACTTATAGGCACTCCTCTGGCTATGATCCATTCAAGCTTAAGCCTTGATAGAACACTCTTCACTTCAGTAAATGAATGTGGAAGCGTAGGTGTGTATAATTTAATACTTTTAAAAAATCCTTTTGCTTAGAGTGTTTCTTCTGGATATAACCCCAATTAGAACCAAACCAACAATTACTAGCTTTGGTTTCCACATTCCTTTGGGGGAAATTATGTTTGTTCTCACTCACATTCCCTGTTGTTGTTATTGTTACATGCTGTCAAATCAGAACCAATTTGTAGCAACCCCGAAAGGTTTTTCAAGGTAAGTGAGATACCTAAGGACTGGTTTAACCAGTTCCATCCCCCCCACCCCTTGAGTTTACATGGCTGAATGGGGATTCAAACCCAGTTCTCCAAAGTCCTAGTCCATCACACTGTTCACTACACCACACTGGGGATGACCTTCCTGGGGGCACCTAAATCTTTATAAAATGTTTGTGCTCCATGGAGCGTCAACAGACCATGAGTGACAAAAGCAATTAGCAAGACAATCATGAGGGCAAAACACTTGATTTGATTGTCAAGAATTGAAGATGGACTTCCAGAAATGTACAGTATGTGTGAGAAGTACCAGTAGGTGAGTGGAGTCTCCTTCTTTGGAGGTTTTTAAGCAGAGGCTGGATGGCCATCTGTTGGGGGTGCTTTGATGGAGTTCCTGCATGGCAGAGGGTTGGACTCGATGGCCCCTGTTGTCTCTTCCAACTCTTTGATTCTATGATTCTATGAACATTTTCCGAAGCTTTATTTTACACCAATTATTCTTGTGGAAGAGGATCTAGTCGTTGTAAAACAAATTCAAGCTTCCTTCCTTCCTTCCTTCCTTCCTTCATTCATTCATTCATTCATAACATTTTCTGAAGCTTTTATTTACACCAATCATTCTTGTGGAAGAGGAACTAGTCATTGTAAAACAAATTGAAGCTTTCTTTCTTTTCCTTCCTTCCTTCCTTCCTTCCTCTAAACAGAGGCAAAAGACAAGCACATCCGTCAAACACAATCAGAGAAAGTTAATGTGAAGATTGTAAGATCTCCCCATGTACTAGATGGATTCTTTGTGTGAATACTGAATAGTTGGAGAATTCACATCCACCATGACCCAAGAAAAGGTTGCTTCAGTAGTATGCATGGACATGTGAAGGTCACTTGGGTTAAGTCAGGTCATTGGACTCTTGAGCCTTGTATTTATCCACTCTTCCTGGTGCTAGCTTTCTAGGGTGTCAAGTGGACGTTCCCTCCAGGTTTCTTGCCAGAAGCCCATAGCAGATGGACACCAACACCATTTGCAGGAAAAAACATGGGCTATCCTGACAACTATATTTTCTCTAAGGTTCAGCTTTTCTTTCCCACAGCTCCTGTGCTTGCTTCAAGATTGAGTCTAGGAACACTTGCAGCTGAAATTTGAGCCAACGGGATTGACCCCTGGGTACAAAGAAAAGACGTTTTTGCTGTGACGTGATTCTACAAATATCTTTTGGTGATGCACCAAAATCCATGGATCCAAAAGGAAACCTATTCAGTGCTCTTATGTAGTTTTGAAATGGAGACATTTTCAGCACTTCAGAATTAAGAGAAATCAAGGTGCCATCCATTCATTGTTTTAATCCAGGACATATCCAGTTCCATTAAGTTCCACAAAGCTTTCATCCAGGTATGTGGTTATAAAATTGCATCCTTAATGAGAGAAATGAAAATGTCTCACTTTTTGAGGGGTGGTGGTGGTATTAGTAGTAACTGAAACTGCTGGTTTTCCTAAGTTCTAATTTTGGATGGGGCAGAGGCAAATTATGGCAATTAACAGTTTTAACTTGAATTGTTTACTGTCCGTACAGATTATCTAGAAGCAAACTATAAGGTACATTCACCCTTGTTTATAGTCAATAGATTGCAGCACAGTTGATAGAAGACACATTAGTACATTAAAAGCACAGGTTTATGAAAGTTCTAGACGTTGAATGTATATAAACATTCAAATATTCATACGTGGTTGAATGAGAATGGGGAATTCAAGATTCATCTCTTCTTTGATGACTGATTTGTTTGAACCTCAAAGCTAAGTGATCGTAACAGACGAAGAAGAAAGCCATGGAGGGATTGAATAATAATGACAGCTGCCCTCACCCCTTATTGGAAGTTCCAGTGGGAAAGGATGTGCAAAATACACGCCATCTTTTTCATGGCCATCATCTTCTATTCATTGACTGAAATCCAGTGCTAAATTGCAACTAGAGTAGGTCTATTCGAACAGGGAGATTTGTTGAGTCAGTTCCTACATGGGTTTCATGGATCCAATGGGCCTACTCTAGTTGTGGCTTACCATTGGATTTCAACCATTGGCATTTTATTCTAACAGCCCTCTTAGAGGGCACTATAAACAGGGCATTCCATCTGCACTTGGAAGGCATACTATTGCCAGTGATTGATGGGAACCAGATTCTTTTGTAGCTCCTTGCAGCTTCTGATTATCTGTGGGAGCTTTCACCCTTCTTCACCATGGGTGTGTACTGTGTGACCCTACAAATGTTGGGTTCAAACTCCCTTACTATTGGTTATTCTGGGATAGTTGGTGAGGGAGATGATGGGGAATCTGTAAACTAGCTGTTGATTACCTACATCTCACATCACTCATTATCTTTGTCCAGGTTGGCAGGAGTTGATAGAAACTGGAGACCAATAGCATATGTTGGACCCCAAGTTCTCCCAATTTTTGTTCAGAAACTTAGTAAGGCAGCCATAATGAGAATGCTGTATGGCAGCAGTCCCCAACCTTTTTCGGTTCGTGGACCGTTTGCCCAGAAGAGTCTGGGCAAGTAGCTCCATCTCTCTCTCCCCTTCTGGCTTCAGCTATTGTCGTCTCTCCCGCTCCCCCCCCCGCATGTAGCTCCACGTCCCTGCTTCTTGCAGATGAAGGAGGACACAGGCAGGTAAGGGCGGGGGGAGGGAGAGCAGCTGCTTGTTAGGTGGCTGCTCTATGGGGAGGGAGGGTGGGGAGTGAGCAAGCAAGCAAAGCAAAGCCATGCATTGGGGCACTTCCCAGGCTGCCTGCCCCATGGCAGCTTCCCCGCAGGGAAGGGGTGCTGGTGTCCTGCAAGGGGTGCTGGGGAAAGGGTTAGCATGAAGGCCACACACCCACCAGCAAGCGTGACACACGCCCCCATGCGGGGGGGCAGAGATCTGTGCCCGCGGCCCAGTTCCAGCTAACCCACGGACCGATACCGGGCCGCGGACCGGGGCTTGGTGACCCCTGCTGTATGGCATATATTTCACATGCCTTGGTTTTCAAACTGGTAGTGGTGAGATAAGGATGGAGATAGCACATCAGGGATGGAATTTAACGCGAACTTTCAGTGCTGCCATCCCACCCGAATTTGGAGAATCAGAAAATCTCACATTAAACTATTCTTTCCTTCTACTAAATCTACCTTTAGACACAACTCTGGGAATGCGCAAAATTTGGAAATGAGCTGGTATCTGATGAAGACGCCCAACCTCACTGCTGGGATTCAATTCACCCTCCTTGGGTTTTCAGAAGGGCTGAAATTCCGGCTCCATTTTTTCCTTCTCTTTCTCACCCTCTACATGTTGACTCTCCTGGGCAACACGCTCATCCTCTACACCATCTGCTCCAACCCTCAGCTCCATTCGCCCATGTACTACTTCCTTTCTGAGCTCTCTTTCCTCGATATTTTTTATTCCAGTGCGACGGTGCCCAAGATGTTGAACGGTTTCCTAACTGGATCCCAAACCATTTCCTTTGTGGGTTGTGTTGTTCAGTTGAGTGCTTTCCACTGTTTTGGAGGGACGGAGTGTTTCCTGCTGACGGTCATGGCGTACGACCGATACGTGGCCATCTGCAACCCCCTCCATTATGCTGGGATCATGAGCAGGATGGCATGCCTTAAGCTGATGGCCACCACGTGTCTGGTGGGGTTGCTCCACTCCGCTCTTCAGACAGTGCTCACCTTCCACCTCCCCTACTGTGGCCCTTATCAGCTTGACCACTATTTCTGTGACATTCCCCCCTTGCTAATGATTGCCTGTGCAGACACTTCTCTCAATGAGACTGTTGTCAGGGTGAACATTGGTGTTGTCGCACTAAGCAGTTTTGTGTTGATCCTTGGCTCCTATGTCTGTATTGCCACGACAGTTCTTAAGATACACTCTGAGGAAAGGAAGCGGAAAGCTTTTTCCACTTGTGCTTCTCACCTAACAGTGGTCGTCTTCCTCTATGTCCCTTGCATAGCCATCTACATGCAACCGGCTATCAGCCACCCGGTACTAAAAATTGTGGCCGTCTTTTACACATCAGTGACACCAGCTCTGAATCCGATCATCTATGCCTTGAGGAATGAAGACATCAAGAAAGCAGTGAAGAAAATGGCCTTCAGTGAAATATTTTCCCGAAGTATAGCTTTCTGTGGACAGAAACACCCTGATTTATGGGATGGTGAGCTGTCTGTCTAAGAGACAGCATGATGTAATGGTTACAGTGTTGAACTAAGAGTTGATAGATCTGTGGTCTAGTCCCAACAGAGCCATGAAATGCACTAGGTGGACCTAGACCAGTCACTTCCTCAGCCAGTCCTACCTCACTGGATTATTGTGATGGTATAGTGATGAAGGAGAACTATGTGTGCTACTTTGAGCTTAGGGCTAATTGCAGGAAAGGTGCAATGTTAATGTACTAGATAATGGTCTTTTTAGTAGTCTGTAAAGATATCACCTATTTTTGCATTTGCATTTTTTTAACCACTGTACAACTACTCTTTATTTCAATGGCAATACAAGGATACCAAGAAATAGCTGCCTCAACCCTCCATACAAACAAGAAGACACACAGACTCTCAACATCAGCAGAGCAGGACTGCAAACACTAGGTCGCCTTGTTGTTGCTGTTTAGTCGTTTAGTCGTGTCCGACTCTTTGTGACCCCATAGACCAGAGGATGCCAGACCCTCCTGTCTTCCACTGCCTCCCGGAGTTGGGTTGCCTTAGCTGTAACCATAAAACAGCAACCATACTATTTCTTGACTGTATTCTCGAAGGCTTTCACAGCTGGGATCTGATGGTTGTTGTGGGTTTTTCGGGCTCTTTGGCCGTGTTCTGAAGGTTGTTCTTCCTGACGTTTTGCCAGTCTCTATCTCACAGCCATAAATACTCCATTCCCAAGCAAACTACACCAGAGCACAGAGTGCTGTCCTCTGAAGATGCCAGGCAGAGAGACTGGCGAAACATCAGGAAGAATAACCTTCAGAACACGGCCAAAGAGCCTGAAAAACCCACAGCTATTTCCTGACTATTCGTGCCTGGTGAATTCCAGGTTGTCATGAACTTTTTGACTTAAAGTTCTTCACAATAGTACACCTCTGATGAAGTGCTTCCCCCCCCCAACCCATGAAAGCTCATGTATTGTATGATGATTTTTGTGGTCATCTGTAGGTATAGCTTATTTTTGCAGATGATGGTGTTGATGAGGATGTATGTGTGCAGCTTTCCTGAGTGGTGAACTGGCATTCTCCTGATAGGCAAGGGAGAAAAGGGGACCACCTGCTCAGTTAGATTGTGAGTTGTCCGTTCTATCCGTCAGCCAGCTTTCTACCTGTGGTGACTCCACAAAGATTTATGAAGCCAGATGTCGCCTATAAGAATTAAGACTCTTGGTCTAGCCCTCCCTTCTCCCCCAGGACTTCCTGTCACTTTGAGCTGCCTTAGATCAGCTTTCTGGGCTGATGCCTGAGGTACAAAGGGTTCTGGAGCCAGAGGGGGGAAAACATGCTCCATCTTCCACATGATATTGCTTCAAATATTTGAAGACAGATGTCATACCACTTCTTTTCAACCAGCTGAATAAACCCAACTCTTTCAACTGTTCATCATATGGCTAGTTTCCCAGACTTTTTATCTTCTTGGTCAGTCTTGTCTGGATGCATTTCAGATTTTCAGTGGCCTTCTTCAGACGTGGTACCTGGAACTGCACACAGGATTCCACGTGAGGTCTGACAAAAGCAGGATCAAGTGGCGCTTTCACTGGGACACGACACTACTTCTGAAGAATTTTTGCACTGCATCTCATTTTAACTTATGTTTAGTTTATGGTCTACTCCCTAGACTCTTTGCACACACTCAATGACAAGCCAAGTGTCAATACATTATATATTTGTGCATTAAAACTTTTCTGCCTATATGGAGAGTATAATATTTTCTCTTCTGAAATTCATTCTGTGTCTTTTGGACCACTACTCTGATCAAAGCTGATGTGGTATAGTGAATAGAATGGTGGACGAGGACTCAGGAGGCCTGGGTCTGAATCTCACTCAGTCACGGAAGCCTACTGGAGGTGGGTGTAAAACTGGTAAACGGTAAAGGTTCCCCTTGACATTTATCACGGAAGCCTACTGGAAGTGGGTGTGAAACTGGTAAAAGGTAAAGGTTCCCCTTGACATTTAGTCCAGTCGTGTCTGCCTCTAGGGCACGGTGCTCATCCCCATTTCCAAGCCATAGAGCCAGCGTTTGTCCGAAGGCAGTTTCCATGGTCACATGGCCAGCACGACTAGACACGGAACGCCATAACCTTCCCACCGAGGTGGCACCTATTTATCTACTCACATTTACATGCTTTCGAACTGCTAGGTTGGCAGGACCTGGGACAAGCGATGGGAGCTCACTCCATCATGTGGATTTGATCTTACGACTGCTTGGTCTTCTGACCTTGCAGCACAAAGGCTTCTGCAGTTTAACCTGCAGCGCGTCCCATGACAAAGCAACATATAGTGTATAATTAATAGTAGTTGTGCACTGTCAAGTCAATCCTGACTTACGGCGACCCTTTTCAAGGTTTTCTAAGCTGAGACTATTCAGAAGTGATTTCTCATGTCCTTCTTCTGAGGGCATCTCTGAGACGGGCAGCTCGCCCAAGGGCACACAGGCTGGTTCTTCAAGGAGGCACAGTGGGGAATCGAACTCCGCTGCCAGGTATCTAAAACACCGAGCTATCCACCCAGCAAAATAATTAGTAACTGCCAGGTATCTAAAACACTGAGCTATCCACCCAGCAAAATAATTAGTAATTGTGTGCCTTTAAGACAGTTCCTACTTATGGTGACCCTTTCCAGCTTTTTCTAAGTAGAGAATATTCAGAACTGGTTCACCATTCCCTCCTTCTGGGCACCACACATTATAATATTGACTAGAGATTGAGGCCGGGTAAGTGAGGCTCATCAGCCTTGGAAGGCAGCCCATCTAGGAGAAGGAAAACTCTGATTTCAAACCTCCACTGCCTTGTGGCTATATCCATTGATGGAAAAGGCTTCAGGAGTCAACCTCAAGGAAAAATCCGGAGCCGGAGTCCCAGAGGCAGTTCGTGTCATTCTGACAACTCCTGTGACATTGCTGGAATCAGTTGTATTGGCTCTTGCTTTTCCATTGGAGTACAGTGGTGCCCCGCATAGCGACGATAATCCGTGCCAAAAAAAATCATCGCTATCTGGATTCATCACTATGCGGGGGGGAAAAGCCCATAGGAACGCATTAAAACACGTTTAATGCATTCCTATGGGGGGAAAACTCACCACTATGCGGGAATCCTCCATCCGGCTGCCATTTTCGCTTCCCGTTAAGCGAGGGCAGGGTGCGAAAACGGAGCGGGCGGCCATTTTTTCTTCCGGCGGCCATTATGGAATCGCCGATCAGCTATTTTTAGAACATCGCAATGCGAGTTTTTGCCATTGGGAACGTTTTTATGCGATCGCTTTTGCAAGCACAAAATACGCATCGCTATGCGGATTCGTCGTTAAACGGTGCGCTTGTTAAGCGAGGCGCCACTGTATTTCAATGATATGGAGAGGGGGGATTTGCTGCTTGGGTAACAGCCAATCCTCCATATTATTTTATCCAGGCTTCATGCTCTGGAGAGGACACTCCAACTTCACACACAATGTCGAAGCAAAATCAGGGAGCTGGACAGGGGACGGATTGTATTTGTCTTCAGTGTGGAAGGGATGGTCACTCTCGAATCAGCCTTCTCAGCCACACTAGACGCTGTTCCATACAGAGCACGTTACCATAGTCTCTCGAGACTGAAGGATGCCTACACACAGAGATTGAGGTATTTGTAATTCGTATACGAATATCCTCCCACAGGTGGAGATAACGACTGTCCACTCATGATTCTGCCACTGACATGAGCTCGATGGAGCCTTCCTATCACTCTGTTTTCTGCAATGGATCAGCCAGTCCTGGCAGAAGGCGGGATGATGAACCTCTCTGCCAGGTCACAGAGTAGCTAATCCATTGGGCACAATTGAGCAATAGGAAGATCTATGTATCCATGTTGAAAGGCTGTATTCACAGTGTAACTTTACATCTTTAAATGGCCCATAACCTGGATTTCCCGAGCTTGTCACCTTGAATTGCGTTTTGAAAGGAGATGTGATGTGCCCACACACAATGCTCCTCAAGCTTGGCATGTAAACCGAAGTTCTGAGCATGGACACAAAGCAAGGTGGAATATTGGTAATGTTCCTGCTCCTAATTCCCATGAAAAAACTCCCTTTGCCTTTCAGATAAACACACACCCAAAAATAATAAAAAGAAAACATAGATATAATGGCTCCTTAAAGTGGTGCCCAACCTTAGGTCCTCAGATGTTCTTGGACTCAATCTCCCAGAACTTAGGGGTGAAGGCTTCTGGGAGTTTTTGTCCAAGAACATCTGGAGACCCAAGGTTGGGAACCAGTGATGTAATCCATAAACTTTGACTAGGCTATTTGGCTTGGCAGTGTTACATGATACATTTTCTTGGTCTTCAGCATCTGTTGGCTGCATTCACAAGATGATGGTTCCACGGGGAAAGGACTCCATATGGTACATGAGGCTAATGAAGCCAGTAGAATGACCTCTGATTTGAGTAACAGAAGATTGAAGGCACAGGTGCTTCTTACACGATTCAGATCACCGTAACTGCACACCTGTTGCTCTAAGTTACCTGCTGCTCATTGTTACATTTTAATTGGCTCAGAGGGAACTGAAAGGGCTTAATGGTTTGATTTGACCTTAGCCCAGCTCCCCTTGGGATGAGACCAGAAACTGAATTCTCACAGCGGCCCTCAGAACATCAGCGCCCTCTGAGGCCTTGCCTAACAAGTCCCCGAGGGACTCTTATTACAAAACACACCTTAATTAGCCAGGAGGAATGGGGAGATCCCAAAACAGTTAACGGCAGAGTTGACAATTAAAAATTCAGCAAAGTTGAGAGCTAAGAGACACTTCCGTGTGTCTCTCTAATCAGTTCCACAGAGGGTCAGAAGTTCACACGGAAACAGTTTGCAGTTGACATTTGGACGATGTGAGCCGAAGCAGGACGAGTGCCAAAAATACTTCTCCTAGCTTAACGCACATCGCTTCAGACTTACGAATGGCTAAAAATGATTAGCAATGCAATTGTGCGACAGCTTCCTTGGGTCACAGGAAAGCTACTGAATCTGAACCTGCCAGTTTGTGTGTTTGTTAGTGTGTTTAAAATGTATAATCCTTTCCCAAAAGAAATCATGCAATGGATTCATCCAAAACCTTCAGATGAAATACATAAGAAACAAAATTGACAACAGAGTTGACAAAAATCAGAGGCTAGAATTGCCTTGGTGATTGACAGTTGCATTAAAGGGAAATTGCATTAGCCTTGGTGGCAATTTACTGCTCGTTAATGAGGTGTTAGGTTGATTTTTTGGGGTACACTCCTCACTGCATGATGAGGTGTGGAGCTGAGAAAGTGAGCAGCACCTTGTTAATGACAGGAAGTTAACTTCCAATACTTCTGTGATTTCTCCTATGCAAGCATAAACACAAGTAAGAGTTGGCCTGAATTGTTTAAAAAGTGTGTAGGATCTAAACACCCAGATAATCTCAGTTTTCCTGTAGTTGTTCACAAAACACCCAGATCTCTAGGTCCTTGGTCACCATGCTGGAGATGTGGAGAAGACTTCTGGGAGTTTTAGTCTAGGAACATCTGGGGACCCAAGGTTGGAAACCATTGTTCTAGAACTCTTTAAACCCATTGAGGATGGAGAATTCTGATCGCTCTCCCTGGAAAAAAAGACAAAATTTTAAAGTTTACTAAAATCCTGTAAGGTAAAGGTTCCCCTTGACAATTTGTCCAGTCGTGTCCGACTCTAGGGGGCGGTGCTCATCCCCGTTTCCAAGCCATAGAGCCAGCGTTTGTCTGAAGACAATCTTCTGTTGTCACATGGCCAGTGCAACTTAGACACAGAACGCTGTTACAGGTCCTTGGTCACCATGCTGGAGACGTGGAGAAGACTTCTGGAAGTTTTAGTTTAAGAACATCTGGGGACCTAAGGTTGGAAACCATTGTTCTAGAACTCTTAAACCCATTGAGGCTGGAGAATTCTGATCGCTCTCCCTGAAAAAAAGACAAAATTTTAAAGCTCATTAAAATCCAAAAGTAGGTTGCAACTAAAGTAGACACATTGCTTGAATCAATGGAGTTTACGGAGGAGTTGAGTCACTGAATCCCCTCTGATTCCATAGGCTGTCTCTAGTTGTGAGTCATGACTTGGATTTCAGCCGTAATCTCTCTGCATCAGAGGGCGGCATCTACTCTGCCTTTGCTTTGGTCTAATCCAGTAGTAGGTTGCGACTAAAGTAGACGCATTGATTGAATCAATGGAGTTTACGGAGGAGTTGAGTCACTGACTCCCCTCTGATTCCATAGGCTGACTCTAGTTGCGAGTCATGACTTGGATTTCAGCCGTAATCTCTCTGCATCAGAGGGCGGCATCTACTCTGCCTTTGCTTTGGTCTCTCAGAAGGCAGAAACAGGAAACCATCCACAGGTTTGTGGTCCGTGTCAGGTACTCTGCAGAAAAGGAAGTTCTCTGAGAAACATTCATCACTCCTTCTGACACATGAAACAGAGATGGGGACCCCGGGAAGAATGATCGTTGCTTTCCTTACGGTTGCATTTCGAGGTATCTGTATCATGTGTAACTCATCTGATTGGTTTTAGCCTGTTGCTCTTGAGTGGGGTCTCCGTGGCGCTTTTCGCACTGCTGGACTGAGTCGTGTTTTAAAGAGGTCATCAGTTTTTGTGTTTCAATGCACTTTTTCATGCTTTTAATTGGACATTTTGCTCAGCCTTTCTTCTCTCTGCTTCTCTCTCTCTCTCTCTCTCCCTTCCTTTTTCTTTCTTTCTTTCTTTCTTTCTTTCTTTCTTTCTTTCTTTCTTTCTTTCTTTCTTTCTTCCTTCCTTCCTTCCTTC